TACACGCCCCCTCCACCACCACTACCACCTTGTAAAGTGAGGGATATAGTTACTGTGTAGTGTGCTGGTACACGCCCCCTCCACCACCACTACCACCTTGTAAAGTGAGGGATATAGTTACTGTGTAGTGTGCTGGTACACGCCCCCTCCACCACCACTACCACCTTGTAAAGTGAGGGATATAGTTACTGTGTAGTGTGCTGGTACACGCCCCCTCCACCACCACTACCACCTTGTAAAGTGAGGGATATAGTTACTGTGTAGTGTGTTGGTACACGCCCCCTCCACCACCACTACCACCTTGTAAAGTGAGGGATATAGTTACTGTGTAGTGTGCTGGTACACGCCCCCTCCACCACCACTACCACCTTGTAAAGTGAGGGATATAGTTACTGTGTAGTGTGCTGGTACACGCCCCCTCCACCACCACTACCACCTTGTAAAGTGAGGGATATAGTTGCTGTGTAGTGTGCTGGTTCACCTCCCCTTCCCCCCTACCACCACCTACCCCCACATGCCATATAGTGCCAACGGTGCAGGTGGATGCCACCTCTCACCTTGACCTAGAGTGCCAAAGGTGCTGGCTGGACGCCCACCCGCCATCTCCCACTAACACTCCTCCACAGCCTAACACAATGTCCTCATTTTCACGATGGGACATTTTGGTTTCTCAATGTTCCTTTAAATAATTTGTCCCTCGATGAGGTCCTGTGTGAAGTGATATCGCCCGTCTTAAGCCTTATTGTTCTGGTCTTGGCATCCTGGAGGATATCTTGGAAGTGTTGAATAATCTTTGACGTGGAGGATGCCAAGCCTGGAGGACTCGGCGCCTTCTGTTGGTAATTGTTTATTGTCTTGGAGCAGGTTGTTGTGTGGTGAGCTGGGAGGCTGCCTCTCCTGGGGCTGGTACTCCCAGCCCCAGCACCGCTCCCCTGCACCTCTCTCCTGGGGCTGGTACACCCAGCCCCAGCACCGCTCCCCTGCACCTCTCTCACAAGCACCGCTCCCCTGCACCTCTCTCCTGGGGCTGGTACTCCCAGCCCCAGCACCGCTCCCCTGCACCTCTCTCCTGGGGCTGGTACTCCCAGCCCCAGCACCGCTCCCCTGCACCTCTCTCACAAGCACCACTCCCCTGCACCTCTCTCACAAGCACGGTTCCCCTGCACCTCTCTCACAAGCACGGCTCCCCTGCACCTCTCTCACAAGCACCGCTCGCCTGCACCTCTCTCACAAGCACGGCTCCCCTGCACCTCTGCCACAAGCACCGCTCCCCTGCACCTCTGCCACAAGCACCGCTCCCCTGCACCTCTGCCACAAGCACCGCTCCCCTGCACCTCTGCCACAAGCACCGCTCCCCTGCACCTCTGTCACAAGCACCGCTCCCCTGCACCTCTACACTGGCAACCAACAACAGTTCGCCTCATAATGAGACACCATTCTGGCCACCTCACACCTCACATATCACACCTCATACCTCACACCTCACACCTCACACCTCACACCTCACACCTCACATATCACACCTCACACCTCACACCTCATACCTCACACCTCACACCTCATACCTCACACCTCACACCTCACACCTCATACCTCACACCTCACATATCACACCTCACACCTCATACCTCACACCTCACACCTCATACCTCACACCTCATACCTCACACCTCACACCTCACACCTCACATATCACACCTCATACCTCACACCTCATACCTCACACCTCACACCTCATACCTCACACCTCACACCTCACACCTCACACCTCACACTACCCAGCACGACACTCACCAACATGCTGGCGTGCTTTATACAAGCATATATTAATATAAAAGACATATATGCCCGTGGAATTTTCCATACAAGTATATTAACATTTAAGAGATAAATGCGATAATTTTGGTCTATAAACCAATATTTTGTGTTCACTAAGTGGTATGTATATGTGGTGAGGTTGTGCACTTGACACTCAGTACCAAGGGTTCCACTCACCAGGGCTCTAGGGGACTCGAACCCTGGACTCAACAGCAAGTTGCCTTAGTCTACGTCCACTTGTCAATACGCATCAATGCATGTGCCTTAAAAACGTTAATTGACGTTAGTAATGAGAGAGCGTTGCGGCGCCTCGACCCAGGACTACACAACCGGACATCTCTTTAACCGGAGCAATTAATGATTGGACTTCTCTTCACAGTAGCCAGTCTTGGCCTCGCTCTCTTGAGCACAAACTCTCGCTAATAAACAGTCTGTGGCTGAATGTCGTCAACTTTAAGGTGGGCCGTATGGTGGGAATTATCCCAACTATTACACCAGATTCCACCTGTATTGATATTCCTGGCCCAGGTGTCAGTGAGGACACATAGTGCTGTGCAGTGCATAACCCACTGGCCTGCTGCACAGTCTGCTTCACCCACTGGCCTGCTGCACAGTCTGCTTCACTCACTGCCGTAGTCGCATCTTTAAAGACTCATAAACCATCCGGCTGAAAGTTGGAGAAATTCGTCTTCTCATTAAGTATGAATTGTCGCCAAAGGGGCTTCATGCCGGCCACGGTGAACAGTAGAGACTCCTGTGGCACTGGTACTCATTCCTTCTCCAAGTTGCAAGAAATGATGACTAGCAATATCCTCCTCATATTAATATTGATCACTCATGATTCACCCGCATGACACCACCTTATTGGTCAATATGTGGTGGTCGGCCCACCAATGATACCCACCATGCGTGGTGTTAAATGGCCCACACCAGAACGAGGAGTTATCTGTAACTCTGACTAGTGACTTCCTGACAGGTCAGCTTCAGCTGTGCTACACAAGCTCCAGCTGTGCTACACAGCTGGTGGATAGCGCGCAGGACTCGTAATTCTGTGGCGCGGGTTCGATTCCCGCACGAGGCAGAAACAAATGGGCAAAGTTTCTTTCACCCTGAATGCCCCTGTTACCTAGCAGTAAATAGGTACCTGGGAGTTAGTCAGCTGTCACGGGCTGCTTCCTGGGGTGTGTGTGTGGTGTGGGAAAAAAAAAGTAGTTAGTAAAGTAGTTAGTAAACAGTTGATTGACAGTTGAGAGGCGGGCCGAAAGAGCAAAGCTCAACCCCCGTAAAAACACAACTAGTAAACACACGCTTCAGCTGTGCTACACACGCACCAGCTGAAGCTCATCTCTGATTCACCAACTATTTACTATCTAATCATGGCACAATAACAGAAGGCCACCATCATGGTTTTATTTACATTCGTGTAAATAAACATAGGGTAGAGGTTTATAAGATAAAACCGACCAGACACTCAACTCAAAACGTTTTCTTGGGTCTTCCATTTTCTATGCGAGTAGGACCAACTAAGCTGGACAACAACAGGCATATATGTAGTCGATTCACCCATTTCAACCATTCAAAATATACTATCATATATATATATATATATATATATATATATATATATATATATATATATATATATATATAATATATATAATATATATAATATATATAATATATATAATATATATATATATATATAATATATATATATATATATATATATATATATATATATATATATATATATATATATATATATTGATCAGCCACTTTAGCATCACCACCACCTGATTAATAACATCAATTCATCACTATTCATCACACGGATATGAGATTTTGTCCAAAGTAATGAATACTTCACCTAACGAAAATAGTTGACACTTGACATTAATCATGAGTTGGTCTCGAGTTGTGCTCCAGACTCTATCACTCTCTGGAGGGTTGGTAGCCAGAGCACACAACGTACACAACACAACCTGCTAACCTAACCTAACCTAACCTCACCTAACCTAACCTAACGTAACCTAACCTAACCTAACCTCACCTAACCTAACCTAACCTAACCTAACCTAACCTCACCTAACCTAACCTAACCTAACCTAACCTAACCTCACCTCACCTCACCTAACCTAACCTAACCTAACCTAACCTCACCTCACCTCACCTCACCTCACCTAACCTAACCTAACCAGAAACGAACGTACCCAATCAGCCCCTCTAACCTAACCTTCCGATACATAGAAAACGCTACTTTTCGTAGTACTTTGTAATTTATTCGTTGGAGGAGCCTAACGTTGAAGATGTGACGTATAGGTTGTGAGTGGTTGTGAGGTGTGGTTGTGATGACTGGTGGTGAGGACTGGTTGTAAGGACTGGTTGATTACCACAACACTTACTGACCAACCAACATGTATAAGTATACTAAGGTCAGGAATGTATACCTGGCCACATAACCAGGTATTTAATTGTTTTATTTCAATTTTCAAAACTTTATTTAGTTTATTAAACTTCTTAATTAATTAAGTTTAAGTAATTACTTAAACTTGCACATAGAGTCTTTTACCCTTTACCTGGTGAATATGACTCATCACACGCCATCTGACTCATCATACGAGACAAAGTTAATCACTTGTTCTTCACTACAGCGAACGGCAGCCTCCAGCTCCTGGGCTCCGGGTCTCACGTCAGGGTAATACCTTAAGATGCACTTGACTGTGGAGCTGTGTCGCCGGGTCTCATCAGCCCTCGAACGACAGATGTTGTTCAGGACGCCCTGGCTGCTTGGTTATGTATCATAGAGCTTCAGGGAGGGAGGGTTCGAAGCCAGGTGAAGGTCAAGTGTGGGACCTTCGTAGTCCCAAGGTCAGTGGAACCATAGTCCCAAGCCTTAAGTAATCTCTCACTTCCCAAGACGAATATTATCTCTTAGTAACGTACTCAGATCCTTCAACAGAGTGAGAACAGACCCTTGAGTTAGGTTCACTTTACTGTCACTCGAGGTTGTGAGCTCCGAGGCACCACAACAAGGTTGTTTATACCAATAACAACCTTGGGTTATGAAGCTTCCGGTTCGTAAATGGTTCTAATAGATGTAAACAAAGCCTCCGTGTTTACATTCAGATGAACAGGTCTTGTAAGTAGCTGCTTAAGTGCCTGATTAATGCTTGCCTTGGCACTTATAGAAGGCTAGTAAAGTAATAATGACAAACTGTGGGAGGAGAGAGCAGTAAAGTGGTTGCTAGAGTTCTGTCATACTTTGGCTCGCTGAAGGTCTGTGCCACACTAGGGCTTGTTGAAGTCTGTGCCACACTAGGGCTTGTTGAAGTCTGTGCCACACTAGGGCTTGTTGAAGTCTGTGCCACACTAGGGCTTGTTGAAGTCTGTGCCACACTAGGGCTGACTGAAGTCTGTGCTACACTAGGGCTGACTGAAGTCTGTGCCACACTAGGGCTTGCTGAAGTCTGTGCTACACTAGGGCTGGCTGAAGTCTGTGCTACACTAAGAGTTGCTGAAGTCTGTGTTGCACTAGGGCTGACTGAAGTCTGTGCCACACTAGGGCTGGCTGAAGTCTGTGCCACACTAGGGCTGGCTGAAGTCTGTGCCACACTAGGGCTTGCTGAAGGTCTGTGTCACACTAGGGCTAGGTTAAGACTTGGACACGCTAGAGGTTGCTTAAGCCTTGGCAAGACTTGGTCACACTAGGGCGTGTTTAAGACTTAATTACACTTGAACACTCTGAAGAATCACATAATGTTGTTCGTGTTGTCCTGTACTTGAGAAGTACAGCATGAGACACGCCTGTAATAGAAGGTCATAGTAAAGAGAATACAGTACCAATAAAGTAGAACTTATTGTATGTGATCAACATGAGCCTGTTTGTATTAAAGTCCAATAGGCATATCAAAAAGTACTTTAAGACTTAGTCATAGTCAAGGTTGTAAGACTTAACAGTTTTGTATTGGTTACAAATCAGGTATCTGGTATAGTAATAGTTGAAACAATGCTGTAAAACCAGTCTTAGTGTTGTATTTCAGTCAATGTATATTATCGCCTGGTTCACACATTGTTACAGCCTGGTAGTTCGTTTCCGTAATTAGCTTCACTCTGCTCTCTCTCCATCAGTACTAAGCTCACACCGAGTGAATATTCTAACCTCCATACTTTCCTGCCCTTCGTTAACACATTCCTCACTCACAGGTGCACTCGGCCCTGAGTCATGAGCCTCTCCGACACCTCGAGCCGCGCGCTCTCTGCCTATCAAACATTGCGTCGACACTAATCTTACTCCCTCCCTTCCCTTCCCTTCCCTTCCCTTCCCTTCCCTTCCCTTCCCTTCCCTTCCCTTCCCTCTCCCTTCCCCCAGAAGTGTCTACACCCCAGGTGTGGCGTGCAGACACGGGTGATAGTGCACTGTCCGGGGGGAGGCGAGGGAGCGCGGTAGACACGCACACTAAGGTAGGGCGACCACGGGTACTTGAAAGGAGAAGACGGGTCCACGGTCACCATAGGGGGAAACACGGATGTGGGAAATAGGGAAGGGGGTGTTAAGGGCATGAGGAAGGGGAGGCCAGGGACATCGGCACGTACCGAAGAGTGCACAGGTGCCCTCCAGCAGGTAAGGGATGCCAGGTGGTGTGTGGTGGCGGGCGGGAAGGGTGGGTGTGAGAGGTGGTTGGGCAGGGTGGCTGGACTGTCACGTCACCACCACCCTCCTGGTCACATCCTCAATAGGCTCACCTACCCTCAAGTCACACTAAGTTCGAAGGAGGCAAGCATCAATTTTTTAGTGGAGTTTAAAGGGCGCGGTGAAGTGGTGTGGTGCGCAGAGCGAGGGATTCCGCCCCACGCGCACTATCGATTGCCGACTTTCAAGATGGCGGCTTAGAGGGTCGAGCGCAGAGCCCTCTATACAGAGCAGAGAATGAAGGAGTCGCCATAACGGTGTGTGTTGGACTACAGTGCGTTGTGGCCGACCTTAGGCGGGTTTAAATGTGTTGAAGAGTGTGTTGCGAGCCCGGCAAGTGTTGCGGGGAAGCCCCGGTGTGTTAGAAACGTGGCCGGGAAGGAGTGGTGTTGTGAGAGCCGATGGTAACTTCGGCAGTAAGGCCTTTCTTGTGACCAGCCCCGGGCTGTGTGTGCTCTCCGGGTGATTCAGTATTTGTGGTTTTTAGTGCACTTCTTCGGCTTCAAAATCCTTCAAAATTTCGCTCTATTTCGGACCATATGAACCCTACAGAAACATACAGTAAGTATTTACCCAGCTCTAGGGGGTGTTTTTAGCGGAGGCATCTGTTAAGTGATACACAACATGCAAATATCTCCCTGTAATTCCACACGCGTACACCTTTTAGTAGTCCCTTCCCTGTACTAATATAAAATCTTAACTACCAAACTATTATTGCAAATAAAAACTATTTCATAAGGAAAGTTGTCAAAGAGGGATCGAGAGAATTATTTTGGGCAAATCGTGTACCCAAAGTCTCCATTTTCTGTTGGGTAGGTGGAGGAGAAGAGCCTCGTGTTGCATGTCCTCCACTCCATCGATTTGGAGCTTTTTTTTATGGTGGCCGTGTCCTCCTCGAGGCCTGGCCTGGCCCCCTTGCGGCTCAGCCTCAACCGTGGAGGAACGCACTCAAGTGTGGAGGAGCAGGAGTGGGGGGAGATGAAACATGAGTGTATTGGGAAGTGAGGGGCGGCGGTGGCAGGCTCTCTGCCAGTGGTTGCTGTGCACACCGACCGTCTCCTATGCGAAATGAAATCAATACAGAGTCTCTGCTGCCTCTCTGGTACGCTGCTCTTCCCTGGTAATATTCCCTCTTCTCCCCTCGTCTGCTGTCTCTGTGGACGTGTCTGCCTCGCCCGGCTTGCCTCCTCCTGCCTCGGGCTTTCCCACACACATGTTTGTTTATATTAGGCTGGCTTAGGGTGTGTTGCCACTCCTCTCTCATCCTGGACATATACACATACACACACCCATGTTATCCAACCGCCCCTGCCATCCACTCATCCCTACTAGCCACCCATGTTTGCCATCCACCTGCACCTGCCTTCCAACCACCCGCCTCTGCCATCCACCCACTCCTGTCATCCACCTGACCCTGCCATCACCTGCCTCTACCATTCACCTAGCTCTATCATCCACCAGCCCCTGCCATCCACTTATCCCTACCATCCACCCATCTTTGCCATCCACCTGCACCTGCCTTCCAACCACCCGCCACTGCCATCCACCCACCCCTGTCATCCACCCAGCCCTGCTATCCACCTGCACCTGCCATCCAACCTCCCGCCACTGCCATCACCCACCCCTGCTATCACCCGATCCTGCCATCACCCACCTCTACCATCCACCCAACCCTATCATCACCTCTGCCATCACCCACCCCTGCTAACACCCGCCCCTGCCATCCACCCGCCCCTGCCATCAACCACTCCTGCCATCCACCAGCCCTTGCCAACACCCGCCCCTGCCATCAACCACTCCTGCCATCCACCAGCCCCTGCCCAACCACTCCTGCCACACCAGCCCCTGCCAACACCCGCCCCTGCCATCACCCGCCCCTGCCATCCACCCGCCCCTGCCAACACCCGCCCCTGCCATCCACCCGCCCCTGCCATCCACCCGCCCCTGCCATCCACCCGCCCCTGCCAACACCCGCCCCTGCCATCCACCCGCCCCTGCCAACACCCACCCCTGCCATCCACCTGTCATGATGTTCTCCACACTCCACAAAAACAGGGACTTAATGACAATATGCAAATAAGGAACATTACCGCTATAAGAATGTTTACTAATGAAGGATGTCACGTGAGATTATACTTAACCTGGTATTTAATACTCTAGAGAACACGTGAAAGTCAACCATTTTATTTTATCACTTGAGGGGAAGGCAAAGCATGTGAGGCAGAGTTGAGGAGCACTTTGTGAACACTTGAGTGTAGGTGTAACTACCCTAGATGTATATGGAAGCACCCTGGGTGTTTTTGAGCATTTTAGGTATGTGTGAATGGCTTTTGTTGGGTCTGAGCTCTCAATGTGTGTATGTGTGTGGGTGTTGAAAGCACTTTGCGTATATGTATGTACTCTGTGTTTGTGGTTTGTTGCAAGCACCATGGGTGCGTATATATGTGATGTGAGCACTTTGTGTGCTAGAGAAGTGTCGTGAGCAGTGTGTGTGCAATATATATGTGTGTGTGCATATATATATATATATGTGTGTGTGTGTGTGTAATATATATATATATATATATATATATATATATATATATATATATATATATATATATATATATATATATATATATATATATGTGTGTGTGTGTGTGTGTGTGTGTGTGTGTGTGTGTGTGTGTGTGTGTATATATGTGTGTGTGTGTGTGTGTGTGTGTGTGTGTGTGTGTGTGTGTGTGTGTGTGTGTGTGTGTGTGTGTGTGTGTGTGTGTGTGCGCGTGTGTGTGTGTTGTGAGGTCCTTACAAAACAACCAGCGTGTAAATCAAGGTTGCGAGTTGCAAGGTGGCCACAGGAAGCACTGACCACACAAACAGTCACCCCCTAGACGAGTATTAACGCCCAAAAGAAACAAAATGCTACAAAATCAAAGTTACCCTCACACTTACATTATGGCTGCTGAAGGAGGCTGAACAAGTGAATTACACACCAGTGTGGCAGACAATTATTCTGTGTCAAGTGCTTGAGAAAGTGATCAGGTCGATAATAATGGAAACTACCTTTATAGGCTCACGAAGATCAGCTAGGAGGTATAAGGGGATAAGTTACGGATGACAGACCTGATAACAGGTTCGAATCCTCGTCACGGCCCTTGTGGATTTGTTCATTTGATGCATCACGTTAGTGTGATCTCTGTGTGTGTGACAAACCTGATGATCTTCTATGATAAGGCTACCAAGATACAATAGAGGGGGGGGGGACGGACTGTATTTGTATGTATTTTCATAGATTGTCAATAAGCATTGAACTGGCCTAGTACCGGAAGGTTATAAAACATAATAATCGGTCTATAAGGAGGCTTCGAGCTGGAGGAATATGACAAATTGTTTCTCACAGAAGCTAGGACCTAGGACAGGCATAGCACTGTCCTAGGACAAAAGCTAGGTCAGAGGAAAACGTTTCTGAGAGCGAGTGCCCAAATTGCACAATAGTCTTGTAAAAAAATTCTCGCATATCCATGGAATATTGAACCCACAGATTATAATTATTATATTACGATCATTACATCATAATTTACATCATTATAAAATGATGTAAATTCATTTTATTGAGAGAAAAAAAATGCTTGACAGCATTCTTAAAGAAATATGTTTAGGCAAGCAGTAACTCTTTTGAATTGTTTTAAATGGAACAACATTAGGAATTATATATTATTAATAACTAGTAATTCCCAAGATGTAAAAAAAATAATGAATTAGTAACAATAATAATGAATTTTTGTTATGGAAAAATATATTCTGTTGCTTATATACTTATATTTATTGTTTTACCGTTAACACAAGTGCAACATAGACAGATATTGAAATAAATGAAAGCTTTATAGAAAGCCTGTTAAAATTATTAATATTAATGTTTTTAACAACATAATTTAAAAACAACATTGTAGTATTTTACTTTATCAGCAACAAGAAATGTGAACGCGAAATTATCAGCTTTGGTTCATATTATAACACATAAAAGAAACAATGAATGGAAAATTAGTTTTTTTTATACTCTGTGTGAGTCTTTTGGTGGTGCGTTCAAAACAATGACTGGCGTGAATATGTCGATGAAAATACTGCTAATGCTGCCAGTGAGAGATTTTTCAGCCAGTGAAAATTTTCAGGAATGAAACTCCAGAGTTTCGAAACCTCATTTTCTGCAAATTTCTGCGCTAATCCAGTCACTGACTGATCCTTTTTTTTCAATATTTTGTTGTTCGGCTGTTTAATTGGAAAAAAAATTGACTGCAAATTGAGTTCGTTTGAAAATCAACTGCGTCTCAAAATTATCCAAATCGATCCACTGCAACATTTGCAAATTCAGTTTGTCTAATGTTACTACTCTACACACTTTATGTATTGTGTAGAGTCTTCAAAATGAAATGTAGTCTTAATGACTTGGCGCTTTGTCCTCATAGTTCCCCATCTATTCCTCTTCAAATGAGCTGAATTTAGTAAATCTTAAAGAAAATTGATCAGCAATTGAATCAATAAATACTTCAAAATTAAGAGACTGTAAATATCTGTTGTCTCAAGAATGTCGAGATCTGTTGTGTGTTGGTTGTTTACGTTTAGGAAATACCTAAAAGTGCCATTGTTGACATCTCGTTATAAAGTTTACAGTTTGGTTTTTAAAAGTTTTTTTTATGGAGTTCAAGTTATTTAAATGTGAGGAGAAATCTGTAGTAAACATCAGTCTATTTATCTATCAATCTATTAATCCTACCAGTGGATGGCCAACATGTTTTGCACACACATCCTGCTTCTTCACCATATATATATATATATATATATATATATATATATATATATATATATATATATATATATATATATATATATATATATATATATATATATATTATTTATGTATTATGGGTGGGGTTTAAAGGCTCAAGGGATGGCACTACTCCCAGCGAGCCAGCAGGATCATGTAAATGACCAATGTGAGTGAATGAGCTCGTACATTCCAATGTTTGCAGACGATACAAAGCTAATGAATGTAAAAACAGAGGACGACTGCAGAAAGTTAAAGGAAGACCTTGACAAACTCGAGTAGTGGAGCAAAGAAATTGTTGTCAGTCTAAACAAGTGTAAGGTGACGACAAAGGGAGAGAAAATAGCTAATTGTGATTTATTATCTGAATCCGAAGAACTCTAGGCCATAAGAGGAAGCCAAAACAGTAATCAGAAATGGACAACACTTCAGAGGAAGGCACACAGAACCGGTGTAATATCGGCACAAGATGGGATGGTGGCAAACATTAGAAGCTCAATTTACAAAATAAATACACAGGTTTCAAGGCCATTTACACTGCCTACGTGAGACCAATGCCGGAATAAGCAGTGCTAGCATGGACTCGCATCTTGTGAAGCACCAAATTAAAAAAAAATAGGAGAGGTTTATAACAAGATTAGTGCCAGAGCCAAGATGATTAAGCTACGAGGACAGATTAAGGAAACTAACTTTTATAACCCTAGAGAACAGAAAGATCAGAGGGAATATGATCACAACATGCAAGATACCGTGGGGACTAGACAAGATGGACAAGGACAACCTAATAATAACGAGGAAAAATTCGACAAAAAGTCATAGATGGAATCTGGAAGCGGAAATGAGTCAAAAGAATGTAAGGAAATACTAACAATCAGTATGACTGGCCAACAAGTAGAATGCACAAAAAGAAGAAGTTGTGGAAGCCACCTCCACTCATAACTTTAATGTCAGATTCGACCAAGAACTTGAAGGTCAGAATAGTTAGATAATAAGGCAACAGGTACAGCAAGGCTGCTAGGCGGGGGTCAGGAGCTAGATCTTACTTCTCTGTGATCACTGATAGGTAAAAGGTACGTAACCAATCTTTGTGCTCCCTGGGTACATGTGTGTATGTTGTGAGTACCCTGGGTATATATGTGTTGTGAGTACCCTGAGTATATGTGTGAGTGTTGTGAGTACCCTGGGTATATATGTGTGTTGTGAGTACCCTGGGTATATATGTGTGTTGTGAGTACCCTGGGTATATATGTGTGTTGTGAGTACCCTGGGTATATATGTGTGTTGTGAGTACCCTGAGTATATGTGTGTGTTGTGAGTACCCTGGGTATATATGTGTGTTGTGAGTACCCTGAGTATATGTGTGTGTTGTGAGTACCCTGGGTATATATGTGTGTTGTGAGTACCCTGGGTATATATATGTGTTGTGAGTACCCTGGGTATATGTGTGTGTTGTGAGTACCCTGGGTATATATGTGTGTTGTGAGTACCCTGGGTATATGTGTGTGTTGTGAGTACCCTGGGTATATATGTGTGTTGTGAGTACCCTGGGTATATGTGTGTGTTGTGAGTACCCTGGGCATATGTGTGTGTTGTGAGTACCCTGGGTATATATGTGTGTTGTGAGTACCCTGAGTATATGTGTGTGTTGTGAGTACCCTGGGTATATATGTGTGTTGTGAGTACCCTGGGTATATATGTGTGTTGTGAGTACCCTGGGTATATATGTGTGTTGTGAGTACCCTGGGTATATATGTGTGTTGTGAGTACCCTGGGTATATATGTGTGTTGTGAGTACCCTGGGTATATATGTGTTGTGAGTACCCTGGGTATATGTGTGTGTTGTGAGTACCCTGGGTATATATGTGTTGTGAGTACCCTGGGTATATGTGTGTGTTGTGAGTACCCTGGGTATATATGTGTTGTGAGTACCCTGGGTATATATATATGTGAGTATTGTGAGTACCCTGGGTATATATGTGTGTTGTGAGTACCCTGGGTATATATGTGTTGTGAGTACCCTGGGTATATGTGTGTGTTGTGAGTACCCTGGGTATATATGTGTTGTGAGTACCCTGAGTATATGTGTGAGTGTTGTGAGTACCCTGGGTATATATGTGTGTTGTGAGTACCCTGGGTATATATGTGTTGTGAGTACCCTGGGTATATGTGAGTGTTGTGAGTACCCTGGGTATATGTGAGTGTTGTGAGTACCCTGGGTATATGTGAGTGTTGTGAGTACCCTGGGTATATGTGTGTGTTGTGAGTACCCTGGGTATATGTGTGTTGTGAGTACCCTGGGTATATGTGAGTGTTGTGAGTACCCTGGGTATATGTGAGTGTTGTGAGTACCCTGGGTATATATGTGTTGTGAGTACCCTGGGTATATGTGTGTTGTGAGTACCCTGGGTATATATGTGTTGTGAGTACCCTGGGTATATATATATGTGAATATTGTGAGTACCCTGGGTATATGTGTGTTGTGAGTACCCTGGGTATATATATATGTGAGTATTGTGAGTACCCTGGGTATATATATGTGAGTACCCTGGGTATATATGTGTGTGAGTATTGTGAGTACCCTGGACAAGTTCGTGCCTGTGTACACCAAGCACACTATTGCTAGCAGCACACCTGAGGCCCCTGTGTAGAGAGTACTCCGAGCATGGAGAGTAACAGTACCCCCGAGACACAGACCATCAACCCATCGCAGTCCCCCGTGTTGATGGCTGGGGTTGCACTTGTGGCAATCCCCAGGTTCTCTGGTCAATACTTCACAACAGCTGACTCACTCTTACCCTCACCCTTGCGCAGTACTCTTACCCGGCACATACACGCACTCCATGGACCCGAGTTCCATTCCCCAACGAGGCAGAAACACATAGGCATAGATTCTTTCAGCTGATGCCTTTGTTCACCTAGTAATAAATGGGTACCTGGGGAGTTAGTCTGCTCTTACGGGCTGCATCTTGTAGGGGGGGGGGGGGGTATGTGTGTGTTTATTATTTGTGATTGCAGGATCGAGCTGTTAGCTCCTGGACCCCAGTTTTCTAGCCGTCGGTTATTTACTAACTCTCGACCTATTTTCCTCTATCATAGTTTGTACATATATTTCTACAGACACACAAACACACACACACACACACACACACACACACACACACACACACACACACACACACACACACACACACACACACACACACACAAGTTAACAAGTGGAATGCATCAGTCAGTGATGTGGTGGAGGCAGACTATATACACAATTTTAAATGTAAATTTAATAGAGCCCAATAGACTCAGAAACCTATACACCAGTTGATTGACTATCGGGATGCGGCACCAAAGAGCTAAAGCTCAACCCTCGCAAGCACAACTAGGTGAGTACGCACAAATGTGGTACCAATATACGAGAAAGGAGATAGAGTTACTTAACTACAGACCAGTATCACTGAGAAGCATTCACAGCAAAGCACTCTAAATAATAGGAATAAGACTGTAGAAAGGAAATCGTGTCTAACGAACCAACTGGAGTTCTATGATAAAGTAACGAAAACAAGGCAGGAAGAGGAAGATTGGACAGATTGTATATTTCTGGAGTTCCAAAATGCCTCATTACTTTATAACACATTACCTCATAAGTGATTACTACATAGATTTGAGAGACATGCAGGAGTAAGTAGAGGAGAACTGACATGGGTAAAGGGAATACCTAACACACAGGAGTCAGAGAGTCACAGTGAGGGAGCAAGAAGTCGTGCTGGCGTAGGGTAACGGACAGAGTGCCTCAAGAATCGTTTCTGGGATCCATGTTATTTCTCATTAGTGTTAATGACCTGTCTGTAGGAGTTGAGTTTAATATGTCAATATTTGCAGACGATGCAAAATTAATCAGAAGAGTTGAGACAGATGAGGATTGTAAAATTCTCTAAGAGGAATTAGAGAAGCTGGACCGTTGATGCCAGCAAGTGTAAGGTCATGGAGGTGGGACCAGGGGACATGAGACCAAAAGGACGGTACACAATGAAGGGGAAACTAAACCCTGAAGTAATTATAAAGTAAAAAAGAACTGAGGTTGGAAAAAGCTCATATAAACAGCATAAACTCAGGAGCCAACTCTACACTAGCACAAGCCAGAACATCATCCAGGAGCCTAAATATGGAAGTATGAAGATCTTTGTACACATGAGCCCAGTCTTAGAGTATAGCGCCCCATCGTGGAATCCCATTGGACAAAAACACGCAAGAAAACTTGAAAAGGTTCAGAAGTTTACAAAGAGGTTCTTCCAAGAATTGCGAGGGATGGGGCATGAAGAGAGAGTGAAAGAACAAGACCTGATGTCGCTATAAAACATGAGAGGGACGGGGAAGATGTGATACAGACACATGAAATACTTCAGGTGACTGACAGAGTGAAACAAAGTCAATCTTAGTAAAGCTTGCCAGTACAGCACAAGGGCGCGAATAGAAGCTTGAGAATCAGATAAAGTCATACAGATGTTATAAAGTTTTATTTTAGCAGGATTCTGGAAAAAATAGATTGAACTAAAGGAACAGGTTGTAGAAACGAACTCCGAACATAATTTTAAAAGTAAATATACATTCATTAATTTTCCTATCATATTAATTTAATTACTATAATTGGGGAATAGGTGAGGAGTCATTGTATTAAACATCAGGGAGACAGAGGGACAGGGAGCTACAACTCGACCTCACAGGCACACACCCGTAAGTACCCACCTAATTGGTGAGCAAGCCCCCCCCCTTCCCCCCCATCACCAAACTGGAGAAGCAAATGAGTCATAGAGACATCAGGGAGAACTTTTTCAGTGTTAGAGCTGTCAGTAAATGGAACAGGTTAAATGCAGAAGGCGTTGAAACTAATTCGATTAAAAATTTTAAATGTAAATATGATGCAATCGTGAGAAATGAGTCGTGCATTGACCCTGCAAGCACCTCTAGGTGAGTGTATACACACACACACACACACACACACACACACACACACACAAAAGTCCAAAGGTATGCTACTAGACTAGTCCCAGAACTAAGAGGCATGAGTTATGAGGAAAGGCTGCGGGAAATGCACCTTACGACACTGGAAGACAGAAGAGTAAGGGGGGACATGATCACAACCTACAAAATCCTCAGGGGAATCGACCGGGTAAACAAGGATGAACTATTCAACACTGGTGGGACGCGAACAAGGGGACACAGGTGGAAGCTGAGTACCCAAATGAGCCACAGAGACGTTAGAAAGAACTTTTTCAGTGTCAGAGTAGTTAGTAAATGGAATGCATTAGGAAGTGATGTGGTGGAGGCTGACTCCATACACAGCTTCAAATGTAGATATGATAGAGCCCAATAGGCTCAGGAATCTGTACACCAGTTGATTGACGGTTGAGAGGCGGGACCAAAGAGCCAGAGCTCAACCCCCGCAAGCACAATTAGGTGAGTACAATTAGGTGAGTACACACACACACACACACACACATTGCAAGACACTGCATCATAAATTTTTCAAAGAATCAGCCTAGGTAGGTTATGCTTTTGTTAGTACATTTCTGGTTAGGATGAAAGGATGAATTATTTACGTAGTGGCAAATAAAAGGGTTTGCCTCGTAAGGCCAGGACTGTCGAGGTCCTTGACGCCACCACACTGTTGTCCTCCACAACCACACTGCCTCACACTGTTGTCCTCCACAACCACACTGCCTCACACTGTTGTCCTCCACAACCACACTGCCTCACAGTGTTGTCCTCCACAACCACACTGCCTCACACTGTTGTCCTCCACAACCACACTGCCTCACACTGTTGTCCTCCACAACCACACTGCCTCACACTGTTGTCCTCCACAACCACACTGCCTCACAGTGTTGTCCTCCACAACCACACTGCCTCACACTGTTGTCCTCCACAACCACACTGCCTCACACTGTTGTCCTCCACAACCACACTGCCTCACACTGTTGTCCTCCACAACCACACTGCCTCACACTGTTGTCCTCCACAACCACACTGCCTCACACTGTTGTCCTCCACAACCACACTGCCTCACACTGTTGTCCTCCACAACCACACTGCCTCACACTGTTGGCTTCCACAACCACACTGCCTGCAGAGTGGCCTGTAGAGATACAAGCCAGGATGGTCAGTAAGCTGAGCTACTCAGACAGAATTCCAGTGGTGTTGGGTCCCATGGATGGTTTTAGGAATTTTGCCTGGAATGGTGCTAGGAATAGTCCCAGGAATGGTCCCAGTAAAAGTCCCAATAGTAGTCCCGGAAATGGTCCCAGTAATGATGCCAGAAATGGTCCCAGGAATGATGCCAAGAATGGTACTAGGAATGGTTCCAGGAATGATGCCAGGAATGATGCCAGGAATGGTCCCAGGAATGATGCCAGGAATGGTTCCAGGAATGATGCCAGGAATGGTCCCAGGAATGATGCCAGGAATGGTCCCAGGAATGATGCCAGGAATGGTCCCAGTAATGATGCCAGGAATGGTCCCAGGAATGATGCCAGGAATGGTCCCAGGAATGGTCCCAGGAATGATGCCAGGAATGGTCCCAGTAATGATGCCAGGAATGGTCCCAGGAATGATGCCAGGAATGGTCCCAGGAATGATGCCAGAAATGGTCCCAGTAATGATGCCAGGAATGGTCCCAGGAATGATGCCAGGAATGGTCCCAGGAATGATGCCAGGAATGGTCCCAGTAATGATGCCAGGAATGGTCCCAGGAATGATGCCAGGAATGGTCCCAGTAATGATGCCAGGAATGGTCCCAGGAATGGTACCAGGAATGATGCCAGAAATGGTCCCAGTGATGATGCCAGGAATGGTACCAGGAATGATGCCAGGAATGGTACCAGGAATGATGCCAGGAATGGTACCAGGAATGATGCCAGGAATGGTTCCAGTAATGATGCCAGGAATGGTACCAGGAATGATGCCAGGAATGGTTCCAGTAATGATGCCAGGAATGGTACCAGGAATTATGCCAGGAATGGTTCCAGTAATGATGCCAGGAATGGTACCAGGAATGATGCCAGGATTGGTCCCAGGAATGGTGCCAGGAAGCTGGCACTCAGCCTGTCACCACATCATAACTAGCCAGCTGACAAATAATTAGAATGATAAAGCCACCTTAATATATTAAGAAATAACTGCAATATTAACTACATGAAAAGTAATCCCTTATGATAATAAAATGACAGCAGGAAAATAAAGTTACAGACAATCAGAGCTAAGTCAAGAGTTGAGAAGAGAATTATACCATATAATATTTACCGCAAAATGAGGATAATAGCACAATAAAATCCTGAATTATGTAATTGTGAGATAGATGGCGACAGTACTAGTCCCAGGTATGATGACAGCATTGGCACGCTGCTGTGACCACATCACGTGAACTAGGCACTAGTTCCTAGTAAGGTGAGGGTGTTAGTGTGAGGGTGAGAGGCTGGAGTCAGAGGGGTCCAGGAACAGGCCGCCGCCACCACTACCCAGAACTCACCGCTGGATTCCTCAATATCATGTGTGTGTACGGAAGCATCAGTTCTTCCCGGAATATGACTCATGGTCCTCACAGTGCGGGCGGGAATGTCTTCATGACTTCCTGCTTCCCAAAACCTAAACAAAACGTCAGAAAAAATAATTGAACTCTCTCCCTCTCTCCTTCCCTCTCCCTCCCTCCCTTCTCTCCCTCCATGGTCAGTTATTGTCCGTCTTGCTTGTGCCCTGACTCATGTGCGTTGTGACTCACCGTGAGCCTGACTCACATGTGACCTCAGGGCATGTGTGACCCGACTTACCTATGACCTCACGTCACACACGAGGAGCAGGTGCAGTAATTACTCACCTGTGGAGTGTTTGTGTCCTGATTCACCTGGTGAGTGAGGGCGCATGGTCCGCAGGTGAGTCAGGAGATGGGGGGGGGGCAGGGGTCAAGGGCCTCTGACTCATGCCACGGCAGGAAGTATTGACCTGTTGTCTCTGATTCACTGTTTACCGGAAGTCAGTTTGGTGGAGAGGATGAGAGGGGAGTAGTGGGGGAGAATGAGGGACATGGGGAGTGGGGAGGTTGTACAGGGGGATGGGGAAGGGGGAAGGGGGGGATTACTGTGCTACAGCTGACTCACGTGTGCTTGTCCTCTCGACTGACTGATTTTGTCGTTCAGGTTCCAGCTACTGTTGACCTAATCGCCAGCTTTTGTTTATGTTCTCAGTAGACCTACTGAGACGCTTGTTTATATATATATATATATATATATATATATATATATATATATATATATATATATATATATATATATATATATATATATATATATATATATATATATATATATATATGCACACATGTTTGAGTTAAATACTTTCCCCTTTATGATTGTCTGGGCCACAATCCTGTCGCCATAATCCTGGCGCCACAATCCTGGTGCCACAATTCTATAGCCACAATCCTGGTGCCACGGTCCTGGTGCCACAATCCTGGTGCCACAATTCTATAGCCACAATCCTGGTGCCACGGTCCTGGTGCCACAATCCTGGCGCCACAATCCAGGCCTAACATAACCACCAACGTGGTGGTTATGTTGTGATGGTGGTTATGTTGTGATTATGGTTTTGTTGTAATGATTGCAATGTTGAGTTGGAAATAGTGGTATTAATTGTATTACTGTTGTAGTTATTGTATTATTATGTCAGTGGTTATGTTAATGTGGATAAGGTTGTATTACTGTGACAGTGGTTGTATTACTGTGACAGTGGTTGTATTACTGTGACAGTGGTTGTGTTACTGTGACAGTGGTTGTATTACTGTGACAGTGGTTGTATTACTGTGGCAGTGGTTGTATTACTGTGGCAGTGGTTGTGTTACTGTGACAGTGGTTGTGTTACTGTGACAGTGGTTGTATTACTGTGACAGTGGTTGTGTTACTGTGACAGTGGTTGTGTTACTGTGACAGTGGTTGTATTACTGTGACAGTGGTTGTGTTACTGTGACAGTGGTTGTGTTACTGTGACAGTGGTTGTATTACTGTGGCAGTGGTTGTATTACTGTGACAGTGGTTGTATTACTGTGACAGTGGTTGTGTTACTGTGACAGTGGTTGTATTACTGTGACAGTGGTTGTATTACTGTGACAGTGGTTGTATTACTGTGACAGTGGTTGTGTTACTGTGACAGTGGTTGTATTACTGTGGCAGTGGTTGTATTACTATGACAGTGGTTGTATTACTGTGACAGTGGTTGTATTACTGTGACAGTGGTTGTGTTACTGTGACAGTGGTTGTATTACTGTGGCAGTGGTTGTATTACTGTGACAGTGGTTGTATTACTGTGACAGTGGTTGTGTTACTGTGACAGTGGTTGTATTACTGTGGCAGTGGTTGTATTACTATGACAGTGGTTGTATTACTGTGACAGTGGTTGTATTACTGTGACAGTGGTTGTATTACTATGACAGTGATTGTATTACTGTGGGAGTGGTTGTATTACTGTGATAGTGATTGTATTACTGTGACAGTGGTTGTATTACTGTGGGAGTGGTTGTATTACTATGACAGTGGTTGTATTACTGTGACAGTGGTTGTATTACTATGACAGTGGTTGTATTACTGTGACAGTGGTTGTATTACTGTGACAGTGGTTGTATTACTATGACAGTGATTGTATTACTGTGGGAGTGGTTGTATTACTGTGATAGTGATTGTATTACTGTGACAGTGGTTGTATTACTGTGGGAGTGGTTGTATTACTATGACAGTGGTTGTATTACTGTGACAGTGGTTGTATTACTATGACAGTGATTGTATTACTGTGACAGTGGTTGTATTACTGTGACTGTGGTTGTATTATTGTGGCAGTGGTTGTATTACCATGACAGTGGTTGTATTATTATGACAGTGATTGTATTACTGTGACAGTGGTTGTATTACTGTGTCAGTGGTTGTATTACTGTGACTGTGGTTGTATTATTGTGGCAGTGGTTGTATTACTATGACAGTGGTTGTATTATTATGACAGTGGTTGTATTACTGTGGCAGTGGTTGTATTACTGTGACAGTGGTTGTATTACTATGACAGTGGTTGTATTACTGTGAAAGTGGTTGTATTACCATGGCAGTGGTTATATTACTGAGGCATTGGTTGTATTACTGTGGCAGTGATTGTATTACTATGACAGTGGTTGTATTACTATGACAGTGATTGTATTACTGTGACAGTGGTTGTATTACTGTGACAGTGGTTGTATTACTGTGACAGTGGTTGTATTACTGTGGCAGTGATTGTATTACTGTGACAGTGGTTGTATTACTGTGACAGTGGTTGTATTACTGTGGCAGTGATTGTATTACTATGACAGTGATTGTATTACTGTGACAGTGATTGTATTACTGTGGCAGTGGTTGTATTACTGTGACAGTGGTTGTATTACTATGACAGTGGTTGTGTTACTGTGACAGTGATTGTATTACTGTGACAGTGGTTGTATTACTGTGACAGTGGTTGTATTACTATGACAGTGGTTGTATTACTGTGGCAGTGATTGTATTACTGTGACAGTGGTTGTATTACTATGACAGTGGTTGTATTATTATGACAGTGGTTGTATTACTGTGGCAGTGGTTGTATTACTGTGGCAGTGATTGTATTACTGTGACAATGGTTGTATTACTGTGACAGTCGTTGTATTACTGTGACAGTCGTTGTATTACTGTGACAGTATTCTATGACAGTGGTTGTATTACTGTGGCAGTGGTTGTATTACTGTGACAGTGGTTGTATTACTGTGGCAGTGGTTGTATTACTGTGGCAGTGATTGTATTACTATGACATTGGTTGTATTACTGTGGCAGTGGATGTATTACTGTGGCAGTGATTGTATTACTGTGACAGTGGTTGTATTACTGTGGCAGTGGTTGTATTACTGTGACAGTGGTTGTATTACTGTGACAGTGGTTGTATTACTGTGGCAGTGATTGTATTACTATGACTGTGGTTGTATTACTGTGAGTAATTGTATTACTATGACAGTGATTGTATTACTGTGACAGTGGTTGTATTACTATGACAGTGATTGTATTACTGTGGCAGTGATTGTATTACTGAGGCATTGGTTGTATTACTGAGGCATTGGTTGTATTACTGTGACAGTGGTTGTATTACTGTGACAGTGGTTGTATTACTGTGGCAGTGGTTGTATTACTGTGGCAGTGATTGTATTACTGTGGCAGTGATTGTATTACTGAGGCATTGGTTGTATTACTGAGGCATTGGTTGTATTACTGTGACAGTGGCTGTATTACTGAGGCATTGGTTGTATTACTGTGACAGTGATTGTATTACTGTGGCAGTGGTTGTATTACTGTGATAGTGATTGTATTACTGTGACAGTGGTTGTATTACTGTGGCAGTGGTTGTATTACTGTGACAGTGGTTGTATTACTGTGGCAGTGGTTGTATTACTGTGGCAGTGATTGTATTACTATGACAGTGGTTGTATTACTATGACAGTGATTGTATTACTGTGGCAGTGGTTGTATTACTGTGACAGTGGTTGTATTACTATGACAGTGATTGTATTACTGTGGCAGTGGTTGTATTACTGTGGCAGTGATTGTATTACTGTGCCAGTGGTTGTATTACTATGACAGTGGTTGTATTACTGTGGCAGTGGTTGTATTACTGTGGCAGTGGTTGTATTACTGTGGCAGTGATTGTATTACTATGACTAATTGTATTACTATGGCAGTGATTGTATTACTATGCCAGTACTCACCTAATTGTGCTTGCGGAGGTTGAACTCTGGCTCTTTGGTCCCGCCTCTCAACTGTCAATCAACTGGTGTACAGGTTCCTGAGCCTATTGGACTCTATCATATCTACACTTGAAACTGTGTATGGAGTCAGCCTCCACCACATCAGAAGTGACACCATTTGTTGAGACATACTGTACCGAAAATGGTGGCCGAACACAGTGATAGAGACAGTGTTGACCAAGTATTTCAAGAGACATTGTTGACCAAGTATTGAAAGAGACAGTGTTGACCAAGTATTGAAAGAGACAGTGTTGACCAAGTATTGAAA